CTGGGGGGGGGGTTGCGGGGCCCCTCCCGCCCCCAGCCAGTGGCTCCAGCAGCCCCGTCCTCCCCCCAGAGCCACCCCAGAGGGGCAGGATGTCACCCCCACGGCCACACACCAGTCCCTGGGGACAGCAGCAGTGACCAGGTGACCAGGCCACCCCCAGCCCTACCCGATGTAGTTGGTCCTCAAGGAAATCTCCAGCTCCCGGAGCACCTGGGTCGACTCCTGCACTCGCCTCTTGAACTGGGGGGCAGGGACAGCTGTTGGCTTTGTCCCCACGCCCCACCCAGGATGGGGACAAGGGGGACAAGGGGTGGCCCTCACCTTCCTGCTCACGCCACCCGTGTCCAAGCAGCTCTTCAGCTTCTGGATGTAGGCGGCCGGGGGGTTCTTCACCTGGAAACGCTCCTGGGAGCCCCAGAGAGAGGCTGGAAGGGGGGCAGGTGGCACGGGGAGGGGCCCTGTCCCCACCCCCACCCCCCTTCGGTGCTTAATCAGGTTAATTAGGCGCCGACTCGCTAACGAGGATGGATGTCACGGGCTCGGGTTGATGCCCACAGCACAAGTGGCACTTGGGGACAGGGATGTCACCGGGGACCTCACCTGGTCACAGATGAGCTCCCACTTCTTCTCGTTGTCATACTGGTTGAGCAGCTCCATCTTGTCCGGGGGCAGGTTCATGGAGTCCTGGGGGGTGATGGGTGTCAGGGCTGGGGGGTCACCCCAAAAACAAACCCCGGGGCTGTGGCACCCACTGCTTGCCCAGCACCAGGTGTCCTCGCTCAGTGGTAGGACAATGGGGACACCAGTGGGATGATGGGGACACCAGCAGAAGGCCAGGGGCACCCATGGGATGATGGAGACACAGGTGGGAGGATGAGGACACCAGTGGGAGGGTGTGGACACTGGTGGGAGGAGGGTAACACCAGTGGAACACCAGGGACAGGACGCTGACATCCCACCAACCATCAGCAAGGTCCCCACCTGGGGTCCCCACAGGGAGGGCAGGGCTATAAGTGGGGGGGGGAACAGGAGGCAAAACTGGAGCCCTCCATCCGTGTGATGAGTGCTCAGTGCTCCCGGCCTCAGCCAGCCCAGTCCTGACAGAGCAGCCTGGGGATGGGGACACAGGCTGGTGACACAGCTGAGGGGCCCAGGGGCGCAGGTCCCGCCGGAGGGGACGGTCACCCCCGAGTCCCCACGGGCACATGACAAGCCCAGCTGCTGAAATCAGTGTTTGTCAGAGCAGGGCCTGGCGTGTCACCACATCCCCCTGCCCTCCTTGCACAACCCTGGCCCTGCCACCCCCAGGGCCGCCCCGGCAGGACGTGACGTGGTTTCCTCTCTCCCAACGGCACCAGGAGCTGCTGAAAAACCACCCCAGCTCCAGCCTCAGGGACACGGCAGGTCCCTGAGGGACCCTGTGGGGTCACCAGCTTCACGGGGCAACCCGAGTCATGCTCAGGTTGGGTCACGGCCAAAAAGACTCGGGTCTTTGTGATCTGGTCCCCGAGGGAAACCCAGGAGCTGGGGCTGTGCTGGCCTGGAGAGCCTGGGCACCATGGCAGGATGGCCACAGCCCCAGGTCACCCCAAACCACCATTTTTGGGATCCCTTGATGTGGAGGGTGGGGACGTGGGGTGCACACACCCTGGGGACACCCACAACGCTGGGGACAAGGCATCTCCCAGGGGCTTGGCTGCCCACAGAGGAACAGGTCCATGGGGAGAGGTGCCAGGGCAGCAGGCAGGACCTGTCGAGCTGCCTTCACAAGAAGCCAAAGCCAGGGAAGGTGGGTGGAGAGGAGCGTGGGGCAGAGCTGGGCAGGGAGAGGACAATCCAGCTGTGGGGACAGAAACAGCCTCCTTGGGAAGCTGCTGGGGCTGCACCCGAGCTGCCAGGTGGGTCCCAGGGTGGGCAACCGCACCCAGATGTCTCCTTTGCTGGGGAGCCCCCTCCTCGTGGTCCCCAAGGTGCCACATTTGGGATGGGTGAGACCTTCTAGAGTTGGGACCAAGGGACAGGGCTGTGCTGAGAGGGACCACGCACCCCAACACCCCACCCGGGGCTCTGGCAGCACCCGTGGCACCCTCTGTGGGACAGGGTTGGGTGCCCTCAGCAGAGAGGGGATGGTGGCTCCCACCACGTGGGCCACCTCTCACAGTGACCATGTGTGGGACCTGAAAAGACCAGGACACCAAATGTCACCGGTGGGACAAGATGTCCCCTGGGCTCCCTGCTGTGAGGACACTGGGCGGGGAGGGGGACTCTGGGGAGGTCCCTGAGGAGGTGGCTCTGCCAGCAGGGCTGGGCCAGGTGGCAGGATGTGGCCCAGTCTGGGTACAAACTGGGTGGTGGCTGCGTCCCATCAGGGCCCGGCAGGCACGTGGGGCCGGGGGGCAGGAAGTGGCTCCGTTGTGGTCCCAACATCTCCACCAAGAAACTGGTTCTTGTTTCCTGCTGGGGAGGGGGAACCAGCAGCACGGGAGGTGTGGGGCGGGCGGGAGGTGTGGGGCTTCCCTCCCCTCCCCCAGCCGACCAGCAGTGCCACAGCCCCCACGTCACTGAGCAGATGCCACCCCACGTGTCCCCCCCCAACCCTCCTGGGACACAGGGCACCACAGAACCCACAGTGCCACCCCACCCGTGCCTGGTGCCGTCCCACCAGAACCACCTCCCATCCCACCAGAAGCAGGTGGGATCCCAGGCATCCCAGCAGCAGGATGTGACCAGCTGTGTCCCCCCAGCTCAGCCACCCCCGGGGGGCTCTCCCCCCACCCCCAGCCCAGCCTGACGTGGC